GGGATCTTGGGCACGCACACATGCACACACGCCCGGCGTGAGTTTAAGCCACCGGGTCCGGGACTTCAACCGCGGTCAACTACCTGGGAGTCCAGCAATATAGCCATTACACTAACTGCTGGTCCCAAAACTTAAATTTTAAATAGGTTTTTTGTTTGTTTTTCCTAGAAGACATGTTCCCTTGCCAGAGAAAATGAGACAGTAAGGCAGGAAGATGAAAAACCACCCTACATGTGGAATGATCCAAAATGATTTCATGTTTTACAATTGGATCACTCTTCCTTCCTCCAGGATTTTTGCAGACAACATAAGTACAGTTAAGTCTAAAAGAAAGTTCTTTCCATGAGTTAAGTTAAGATATGATGTAGAACTCATTTTTGTCCTCACCATGAGTATTGCATGAAGGCATAAGGCCCAGCATCTGTATCCTTAGAGATGAAATAGATAGAGTTAGATACTGTCTTTATGTCAATTTTACTGAAGTTGGATGCATTCCTAAAAACACACATAGATTTGACCAATTTCTATATTCTGCCAAGTATCTTTCTTGAATATTTTACAGTATTTCTCTGTACATTATTTTTACTAACATAATTAAATTTTAAAAATTTTCCAGAGGGTGCCTGTACTCTCCAGAGAGACAAAGAAATAAAGCAGCTTTCATGAAGAATGGTCATGCAGCAATTCCCTCTCCTCCATTGACAAATGTGTGTTGAGGAACACACATAGTCCTGATGTGTTTCTCAAGCTATGGGTCCAGGACTCGAGCTGCAGGATTGGGTATGTGGGATCTGCTTACAACAACAACCAACCCATGGAGCCAGTCCAAATATTTTAAAATCTAAGTCTCTAGTGGTAGAACTCTCTAAATAGATATAGCAATTACACATATACTTTGGGAAAAAAAACCTTTTCTTTTAAATTTTGCCTAATCTTGTTGATTTTGAGATGAAAGCATAGTCATATTGTATTATTAAAAAGTAACTCAGTAGGTGCTATGGTGATTAGGGAGTCTGGGTTTCCATGCAACCTAGTGCAATTTGAATAGCAGACATGGTTGCTTAAAAATCATGCCAGTATGTGTGCAGATCTAAATCCTGAGAGAATGGCAGAGAAGAGATTGCAGCATGGCCATCCCCTCTGAAGGGTGATTTCTCACTTGTCCTCTGTCTCTCTCCTCTCTAGGGGGCACACATGCCCTATGGGAAAAAGAGACAAAAGAAACCAAAAAAAAGTCCAAGGGTCAGCAGGTGGTGTGATGGTTAAGGTGGATTCAGATGTGGCAGACCACATTTTGAGTCTTAGACCTGGAAATTTGAAAATCACACCAGGCATCTGTGTGTGTGTGTGTGTGTGTGTGTGTGTGTGTGTCCATGTGCCCAAACTCACAGAAGGAGAATTAGGAGAATTGAGGAGAAGGAAATTGGGTGTGGCCATACTTCCTGGGGAGTTATTTCTTACTTTCCCTCTCACTGTCTCTTTCTGATGAGTGCGCATGTCCTATGACAGAAATCTTAAAAATAAAAAGAAAGAAGAAAGAAAGAAAGAGAAATAAAAGGGAAGAAAGAGAGAGAGAGAGAGAGAGAGAGAGAGAAAGAAAGAAAGAAAGAAAGGAAAGAAAGAAAGAAAGAAAGAAAGAAAGAAAGAAAGAAAGAAAGAAAGAAAGAAAAGAAAAGAAAAGAAAAGAAAAGAAAAAAAGAAAAGAAAAGAAAAGAAAAGAAAAGAAAAGAAAAGAAAAGAAAAGAAAAGAAAAGAAAGGAGAAAAGAAGAAAGGAGAAAAGAGAAGAGAAAAAGACAAAAAGAAAATACCTCCAAATATTATCAGGTGTTGGTAAAGGATGTTTACCTGCCAGGGAAGAATAGGCTGGTCTGCATCTCCTGGAGATCCCATTTCTATTTTCTGCAAAAGCATCTTATAAAGAACTTGGACCACCCCATGCACAGCATGATAGATAAAGAAGCTGGAGTCCGATATGGTCATCATGTCCAAATAGGATGGTAGAAACTCTAGAAAAAATTTTTGTGGGCAGTCTCCAAGTTTTCCACATAGAGATCCAGTAAGGGAGCAATTAAAAAAGTAAACCCAGAGTTTGCTGAAGTAAAAATCTTCTGGGTATTGGGAAGGGTTGACTGTCTTGAGAAATTGTTTAAAGCCAGGAATTTTCCTTTTCTGGTTTGAAAATAAGAGACTTCCATGGAAAAAGTATGGCAAGTGCGCCATAACAGTCATAATAGCTTTCCACTCTGAGGAGTGGAGATTTCTCATTATCCATACTTTTCCCAAAATTAAATAGAATTCTTCTTTTGTTCCCAGGCTCCAGACACTCCCTTCATCGCCATATATTATATGCACATTTGCAGATGAAACTCTGATCCTCTTCACAAAAGTAAAGTCATATAACATAAAGACACCTTTAGTGGCTGGGAGCTTTTCTGTAAAGTCCACGCAGATATCCTTTTCTGTCATCTTTGCCTTTACATCCTGAAGGAACTGCTCCCCTTGCATATCATCAGATACATAGAGCGCCACCCATGTCCAGCCAAAATGCAACAACAACCAGATGATTCCATGAGTCAGAGAACTGTCCTTGGTGGCCATCTGATAAACTGATGGAAATTTGTCTGTATCATTTAGGGTGGGGTCAAAAGGACCATATGTGACCTGAATAAGAAAAGAAATAACCTGATTCTGACCTCAGTGGGATTTTAGATTGTCCCACTAAAAAGGGAAGGAGATAATTCTCTATCTGATAAGACCTTAGGATGGCATATTGAGTGAAGAACATTCATGCAGTGGAAATGACTCTATTCTGTCATTATGAGCAGGACAAGACTGTTTTTAGTCTGTTTATTTTGAGAAAGCATATGTTACTAGTCCAAATAACAGAATCATTTCCAGATCTAATCATAAAAGAAAACTATAAGGTTCAGTACATGTTTTATTGTCTACAGTGGGAACTGAGGTATGCTTAAACTTTATACAGATGGTGCAATCAGATGTTGGTGATTCTGCTATCCTGGGCCCATGTGACATGTGACCAGAGGCTTCCTTCCCTAGCATCTAAGGTTAAACATGTAAATTCTGAGAAAAAAATAAATATTTAATTGATTTTTTGATTCTGTGTCTTACGCCCACAGCATAACCTATATTGTCTTTAAAACACAACCACTTAGCCTCTCTGATATATATATTTTTTTGGAGAGGTTTTTGCTATAGGGTGCGTATGCTCGCCAGACAGAGAGAGAGACATAGAGACAGAAAGCAAGAAATTACCCCCCAGGGGGGATGGTCACGCCACAATCCCTTCTCCTCTATTCTCCTCTCGGGATCTTGGGCACACATGCACACACGCCCGGCGTGAGTTTTAAGCCACTGGGTCTGGGACATGAACCATGGTCAACTACGTGGGAGTCCAGCGACATAGCCATTACACTAACTGCTGGTTCCCAGCCTCTCTGATATTTGTAAAATACGATTTTCAAAAACATGATTCTCCTAAGTTAATGCTGTTTACCAGTAATGTCTCCTGAAATTTTATTGGATTGTTTTTATAGAAAGATCTCTGAGGTGGAGAGTTGTTAGGTGGAGAGTAACCGGAAATGTTTTCAGGAGATCCACCTGCCTAGATGTGAGGAAGGGCAGAAGGAGCTGGTAAACAATAGCTGGTATAACTGACTCATAGCCAACTTGAGGATCTCCAGAGCTGGAATGTCCTTTTTCCAATGTGATAATGAATAGAAAGTTGTCTATATCCTTGTATCTAATTGTCCTCTGAATGACCCCTGTCCTGTCCTAAGATAAAGTAAATCTCTCTTCTGTTTGTACTTTTTCAGAGCTATCTTTAAGTTAGCCATCCATATTCTCATCAGTGCAGGTTGAATGTCATGCCCATTGATAGGAATTTGGATGACATTGAACAGATTCCACTTATCTTTTTTATTTTTAATTTGCTAGAGGGCAATTAAATCATGTGTGCCTGCCACAGAGAGACAGAGGGAAAGTGAGAAATCACTCCTCACACGGGATCATCATGCCAATACCCCTTTCCCTTTGTTGGGATTTTGTACGTGCATGTAGAAATGTCCAGTGTGTTCTTCAAGCCTCTAGAATCAAGATTTGAACCTTGCAGTCAGTCAAGTGGGATTCAGCCACATTAACTACCATATCACCAACTGGCCAGTCACTACTCTTTTTCTTTCTCTCTCATTCTTCTACTGTTAATAATCCCATGACTCAGGAAACTCCCTGTGTCTTTTTTCCTCTGTTTAAGAAAATTGTGTCCAAACAATCAAGAGAGGTGTTGAGGGTCTCAAGGGTTATGCAAACCCAGGTTCTACATTTTCTTTGCTCAGATGTGAGAGGATAGCACTAGGAGCTATCCAATTATCATTTCCTCACCTAACAACCCACTTACCTGTGGGCTCCTGTAGAGCTCCAAAAGGGTTCCAACTTGGGTTGAAAATGTTGGCATGTTTCCTGCAATGATAGCAATAGGTTGTTTCTGTGTCTGGCAGTTGTAATTTGGCAAAGTCTGATTCCCCCCAGAGAGCAAAAACAGAGCATTTTGTAAAGTTCTTTTGTCACTGGGAAATGCATTGTAGAGATCGTAACCCAAAGAAAGGTTGGGGAGCAAATGGGGATTCTTACTGATCTCCTCAACAGCAAAAAGAAAGGCCAATACATATTGGTAGTTCTTCCATAGGTACCTAAACAGAGGGGACAGCATTAGTAAATACAGTCAATTCATGTGATTCAGGGCAAATTCTTCAGCCAAGCCATAAGACCTTGCCATTCAGAGATTCTCCTGCAGTGATACATGGAGCTGGTGTGAATAATGTTCCTAGGGTTCTAGAAAACCTTGGAGTGTTTTTTCCTCTCTGCTTTAAGAAAATTGTGTCAAACAATGAAGAGAGGTTTCAAGGGCCCTGTGAGTGAGAATTCGTCACTGAATAAAGGCTGTCACTTGAACAGAGGTGATTTTAAAGGAGGGCCATTAATATATGGAGAAGACAAAATTTTTTTAAGATGTGAATAAGGAGTGCACACATTCACCATCTTTTATACATTTAAAAAATTATATATAGGCAATGGGACCAGCAGATGGTGAAATGGTTACATCACTGGACTTCTATGCACTCAAGTGAGGTTTGAGTCCTGGACCTGGCACCTTAAAACTCATGCTAAGTACATGTGCATGCATGCTCAATATTACAAGAGGAGAATGGAGAAAGGGCTTTGGCAATGCCCTCCCACCTGGAGAGTGATTCTCACTTTCTGTCTCCCTTTCTCTGTCTCTCTGATGAGCACATGCAACCTATAGTAAAAAAAATCTCTCTAAAAAGTATATATAGAAAAGTTATGGATCTCTATATCAAATACAAGGTAGTTTTAGGATTTTTAAATATAACATGGAACAATCGGACTAATAGTTACCATTTATATCACCTATTTCACATTTTCTGTGATAAGAACATTAGTATCACATTCCCTTGGCACTATTAGAATAAATCAAATTCAATTATGAGTTACAATCCCCATGCTTATAATCATCTTCATAACCCTTCTAGAATTGGGTGTATCCCATATGTCATCTTGTTTCTATGTAGGCCCAGAAACCATGACTGAGGCATTTATTATTTTCCCTATGTTATGTAACATTTATATAGCATTTTTCAGGGCCAGCAGGTGGCAAGATGGTTAAGGCACTTGACTATAACATAGCCAACCATGGTTCAAGTCCTGAACCTTGGGCTTGCTTTCTCACTTTCCATCTCTCTCTGGTAAACATACATTCCCTGTAACAAATTAAAAACAAAATCATAATAATAATGATAAATAAAATAAATAATTATTTTTTAAAAAGGAAAAAATAGTAACTAGTTTACCAGTTTTACAACTATTTGTCATAGTTCAAGTACTTTTAGGTGGCTTTTTCTATAGTTTTATACACCACTACATGAACTCTATCTGTTGAAGATATTTTGATCAACTGGACTGAGGAGAAATGTTCACATATTGAAATGTTCAGTTCATAAGCTAAACAACATCATTGAATGTATATAAAAAAATTAATAAATAAATAAATTTTTTATAAAAGAAAAGAGTGTTAAATATGTTTTGTTCAAAATTAAACATTTAATTCAGATATTCTAGTCAACTGTTGACTACATCAAGGCTTTTTACCAATTTGTAAAAAGTATTTTTCTCTGCACTTAGTTGGTCTTTATAATAGTTTATTTTCCACTTGGAAATTCTCAGTTTTTAAAGGAATATTAGCTAAAACTAAGTTTTGATATTTAAGAAATAGCTCACTTTTGTTTCTTATTGAATTATTGGTATATATTGTCTTTAATTCTTTCTCCATTCTCTATGGAATTATTCTGGCTTAGTTTTTCAAAATTCACCATTAAACATCCAAAAGTTCTGCTTTGTTAATAAATCATGTTAGGGGACCAGCAGTTAGTGTAATGGCTATGTTGCTGAACTCCCATGTAGCTGACCGCGGTTCGAGTCCCAGACCCGGTGGCTTAAAACACCAGGCGCATGTACGTGTGTGCCCAAGATCCCAAGAGGAGAATGGAGAAGAAGGGATTGCAGTGTGACCATCCCTCCTGGAGGGTGATTTCTCACTTTCTATCTCTCTGTCTCTCTGCCTTTCCCAAAAAATAAGGTAAATAAATAAATCATGTTAGACTAAAGATTTTTATGCTATCAAAATTCTAATTTTTCTGAATTGGTTTTTATGTTTTATTGTTACTTTTTTGTTTTTGTTTTGTTTTTGCTATTTGGTGCATACATTCAGCAGAGAGAGAGAGACAGAGACAGAGAGAAAGGAAGAGTGAGAGAGAAAGAGAAAGAAAGAGAGAAATCACCCTCTAGGGACATGGTCATGCCACAATCCCTTCTCCCCCATTTTGTTCTTGGGATTATTGGACATGCAGGCATACACCTGCCTGGCATGGTATTCAAGCTGCTCAATTCAGGACTCAAACCACATAGTCAGACATGCGGGATCTAGTTGCCTTAACCTCCATGCTGAGTTAGGAGTTAGATCCCACTCTAGGTAGATAAGGATGGGCTGAGCATAATGGAGTTACTCTGATTTTGTTTTCTGTGGTCTAGTTCCCTATGCCCTCATTTACAAATTTATAAATCTCTGTCACTGAGTTAAAATCAGACTGAAATGAGTCACTGTTTGGAGGAAGAAGAATTATCTGGCCCTTTCCAAGGACCACATTAGTTTTGGTTAATTAAAACAAAGAGCTATGGTTGACCATGACTCTAGTCCTGGACCTGGTGACTTCAAACTTTGCATGCTTTGCATGTGTGTGAGCATGCCCAAGATCCCAGGAGGAGAATGGAGGAGAAGGGATTGTGGTGTGGCCATCCCTCCCTGAGAGGGATTTCTTGTTTTCTGTCTTTCTGTCTCTGTCACTCTTGTGAAAGCACACACCCTATAGCAAAAATCTTTCCAAAAACAACAAAAAAAAGATATAAAGGGTTATTTTTCATGAAGATTTGTTATTATAAAAAACATGTTTACAGCACACACTATCTCTGTATGTGCTGCCATCCTCTGTGCTTCTGTCAGCCATGTTGTAGCCTGACCTGATATGCCTTAGACTTTCCAGCCACAAGAACTGTGAGTTAATTGATCTCTCTTTCTTTGTAAATCACCTAATTTCAGGAATTTCTGTTATCAATACAATAAATGGATTAAGACACATATACACACAAAAAAAATTAACTTAAGACTCAAAGGTGTTTTAAATTCCAGGACCTGGGCTGACAACCAATTTCAAGGAGAAACAGGTTTCTCTTCCTTGTCAGAATCCTATTTAGCTAAGCCATTATGGCCCATCTACAACAACCCACTCTGGCTTCCTTCCTTTCACTGCATTAAAAACTTTCTCTCCAATCAAACTCTGCTTACTATCTCTCTGTTTTTTGGCATCTATAATTCTTGGTGAGCACTGGACAAGAACTATTACAGGTGCTGGGCCTGATCACTCCCACACCATCACGTGATTGCCAACTGCTGGCCCATATTATATTGATACTTTCTATAAAAATGTAACTGTAGGGACCAGCAGTTAGTGTAATGGCTATGTCACTGGACTGCTATGTAGTTGATTGCAGTTCGAGTCCTGAACCCGGTGGCTTAAACTCATGTTGGGCGCGTGTGCGTGCATGCCCAAGATCCTGAGAGAATGGAGGACAAAGGATTGTGGTGTGGCCATCCCCCCTGGGGGGTAATTTCTCACTTTCTGTCTCTCTATCTCTCTCTGGAAAGTGCACACGCCCTATAGCAAAAAAAATATGCAGTTGTATTATATTTTAAGTATATGTTTAGGTGACACTTTTAAATAGTTGCCAAACGATTGTGTTTTAATTTTAGCTAAAATGTGTTTTCCATTGCAGACAAGTAATTCGTTTTGAACTGACCAAGTTTCTTTGCTTAATAAAACTTTTTTGAGAGATTTTTGCTTTAGGGTGCATGCATAGGCTGAAGAGACAGAAAACAAGAAATCACTCTCCAGGGGAGGATAGCCATGCCACAGTCCCCTCTCCTCCATTATTCTCTTGGGGTTTTGAGAATTCACATACATGTTCCCAGGGTGAGTTTCAAGTCACTGGGTCTGTGAATCAAGTCATGGTTTACCATGTGAGAGTCCAGCACCTTACCATTATGCCACCTGCTGGCCCCTGCTTGACTAAACTTTAATCAAGCTTCTGAAAGTTCTCCCAGGCTCACCTGTATACTTTTATATAATATATGTAAATGCATTTGGCCAGCATCTCTATTACCTGTAATAGTACCTCTTAGTAATTTATTATCTAATTACTCTCACTTCACTCTTTGAATATAAATTCTTATTCGTCCTTGTTATATTCAGATTTGAACCTAATAGTTCTAAACTACTGTAAAATCTGATGGCCATATGTCCCATATTTATTTTGAGGCTTTAAAGGAAGCACTTTGTATTGTGCTTTAAAAGATAATCATGGAGGGGACAGCAGGTAGCATGGAGGTTAGGGTGCTGAATTTCCACAAAGTTGACCAGAGCTCAAGTCCCAGACCTGGAAGTTTGAAAATTATGCTGGGGCTTATGGCTGAAACCTTCGTGCATCCCCATCCCTACTCATCTCTGGACTTCAGGTTGGTTCCTTGGGATTTTAAGATGAACTCGCACTCCCTGACACCCCACTTGCAAACCAGTTAAAGTCAGTGAGCAGTTCCGGACACCAGGATGCGTACAGCTGCAGACTCTTACAGCTGGGAGCATCGTGCATCCCCCACCCTACTCGTTTTAGGTCTTCAGGTTGGCTCCTTGGGACTTTAAGATGAACTCACATCCCCTATACCACACCTGCAAACTAGTTCAGGCCAGCGAGTAATTCCAGACACCAGGCTGCCTGAGGCTGCAGCCCTTATAGCTGGTACCATTGTGCATCCCCACCCCTACTCATCTCTGGACTACAGGTTGGTTCTGTGGGACTTTAAAACGAACTCGCACCACCCCACACCCCACCTGCAAACTGGTTCAAGCCAGCGAGCAGTTTTGGACACCAGGCTGCCTGCAGCTACAGGTCCTTATGGCTGGAACCATCGCACATCCCCACCCCTACTCATTGCTGGACTTCAGGTTGGTTCCTTTGCACTTTAAGACAAACTTTCACCCTCCCCCCACACACACCCCTTCAAACTCGTTCAAGCCAGCGAGCAGTTCTGAACACCAGGCTGCCTGTAGCTACAGACCCTTACGGCCAGGACCTTCATGCATCCCCACCCCTACTCATCTCTGGACTTTGGATTGGTTCCTTGGGATGTTAAGATGAACTTGCACCACCCCAAACCCCACTTGCAAACCAGTTCAAGCCAGCAAGCAGTTCCGGACACCAGGCTGCTTGTAGCTGCAGGCCCTTACAGCAGAATCATCGCACATCCCCACCCCTACTCATCTGTGAAGTTCAGGTTGGTTCTGTGGGACTTTAAGACAAACTCGCATCTCCCACACACCACCTGCAAACCAGTTCAAGCCAGCGAGCCATTCCAGACACTAGGCTACCTGCAGCTGCAGGCCCTTAGGGCCAGGACCAGTCCCTCATCCTCTGCCCCTTTCCCACTTGCCTTTGGACTCTCTGAATTTTAGTATTTTGAATAGCACACACCACGTGATTTTTTTTTCTTTGCTCTCAAGAAAATGGCTCTCTTAATAATAGGAACAAGTACAGAAATTTTGATAATTACATTGAATGTCAATGAATTAAATTCTCCAATTGAGAGACATAGACTAGCCGAATGGATAAAAAAAAAAACAGAAACCCTCTATCTGTTGCCTAAAAGAAACTCACCTTATGGATTAAAGACAAGCATAGACTAAAAGTAAAGGGCTGGAGAAAGATATTCCATGCAAATAGAAATCAAAAAAGGGCTGGAGTAGCAATATTGATTTCAGACAAAATAGATTTCAAGACAAAGACTGTAAGAAGAGACAATGAAGGGCATTATATAATAGTAAATGGGGTAATACAGCAAGAAGACATAACGCTTATAAATATCTATGCACCCAACTCAGGTGTACCTAAATATGTAAAGGAAAGACTGCTGGAGATAAAAGGAGAGATAGAGAAATACTATAATTGTTGGAGATCTCAACACCCCATTATTTCCTTTAGACAGATCTTCTAGGCAGAAAATAGAGAGATACAGGACCTAAGTGATACTATAAATCAAATGGGCTTGACAGATATCTATAGAACTTTCCACCCTATGTCCACAACATATACATTTTTCTCACCCCAGCATGGAACCTTTTCAAATATTGACCATATGTTAGGACACAAATCAAGCCTTTACAGATTCAAAGGCATAGAAACTATGTCCAGCATCTTCTCTGTCCATGATGGAATTAAACTCAAGATTAATTTCTAGAAACACCTTCAAAAATACACAAACACATGGAAATGGAACAACCTACTTCTGAATGACTTCTTCACTAGTGAGGAAATTAAGTCTGAAATAAAAAAAATTATGTAAACAAATGATAATGAGTACACAAGTGTTCATAATCTATGGGACATGGCAAAAGCAATAATAAGAAGGAAATTCATAGCAATTACTGCACATAAAAAAAGGATGGAAAGATGGCAAATAGATAACCTAACATCATGCCTCAGGGAATTGGAAAAACAACAACAAACAAACCCAAAAAATGCCAGGTGAAAAGCAATAATAAAGCAGAAATAAATGAAATAGCAAAGAAACAAACCATATAGAAAATAAATGAAAGCAAAAGCTGGTTCTTTGAAAATATTAATGGATCAACACACCATTGGCTATACTGATCAAGAAGAAAGAAAGAAACCAGATAAATCAAATACATGATGAAACAGGCAATATTACAACACACCTAGTAGAAATACAAAATATCATTAGAAGATACTATAAGCAACTATATGCCAACAAACAAGATAACATGGAGGAGATGGACAAATTCCTGGATGCATATAATCTACCAAGATTGAGTCAGGAGGACATAGAGAACCTGAATAGACCCATAACAAGCCAGGAGATTGAATCAGTAATAAATAACCTCCCAACAAAGAAAAGCCCAGGTCCAGATGGCTTCACTTCTGAATTCTACAAAACTTTTAAGGAAGATTTAACTCCTATCCTACTAAAATTATTTCTAAAGATTCGTGAGAAAGGAAACCTTCCAAATTCATTTTATGAAGCCTCCATCATCCTCATTCCCAAAACAGATAAGGACATGACAAAATAGGAAAACTACAGACCAATATCATTGATGAATATAGATGCAAAAATTCTCACCAAGATACTCGCAAATTATATCCAACAACATATAACAAAGATTATTCATCATGACCAGGCAGGCTTTGTCCCAGGGATGCAAGGGTGGTTCAACATATGCAAAACCATAAATGTAATACACCATACTAACAGAAAGAAAGATAAAAACCATACGATCATTACAATTGATGCAGAGAAAGCATTTAATAAAATACAAGATCCTTTTATGACTAATACCCTCAGTAACATTGGTATAGAAGGATCATTTCTCAACACAATAAAAGACATTTATGAAAAACCTATGGCTAACAGTATACTGAATGGGGAAAAGCTAAAAGCTTTTCCACGAAATCGGGTACTAAGCAAAGCTGCCACTTTCTTCACTGCTCTTCAATATAGTACTGGAAGTCTTAGCTAATGCAATCAGAGAAGAGAACAATATAAAAGGCATTGGAACAGGCAAAGAAGAATTGAAAATATCTTTATTCGCAGATGACATGATGGT